TTTTTAAAAAATAGACAACAAAATTAATAAATCCACCCTTCACAACTCTCTCTCTATCATGAACTTTTGTAATTTGAAGGGTTGTGAAGTTCAGAATATCCATATATATATATATATATATATAGTTACGGTTTTTATAGACCCTAGGTTCTAACAATCAAATTAGAACCTACCTTCAAATAGTGTCGAGAAATATGGTTTCAATACTGGAAATCTTTGCGATAACCTTAAAATATATTTTATGTTTTATTTATAAAGTTTAAAGCTTAAAAAATAGTGTAGATCGATAGATCTATGAAAACTTGAAAATCTTGAATATTGACGGTCCACAAATGCATTACAAAATGCACTATTTCCAAAACTTGAAATCCATTTTTTTCTCATGTCTATGCATTTTGATGTCGAGATGATCAATTTGAGAATATTTGGGCATCAAAACATCCTCTTCTAGTGAAATTTAGTGGTAGGCTCAAATTTGATTGTTTAGAGCCTTGGCTCTATATAAACTTTTTCATATATATATATATATATATATATATATATATAAAGAGAGTCAGAGGTCATCCCACTAGCAGACAGCTACAGTAAACGCTCAATGGCTCAAATTGAATCTAGGTCGATCTAATGTTCATGATTGCATTTCGTATTTCAATTTTAGTTTTCTCTATAAATCAAAATCACTTGAAATTTACAGTGTTTATTGTTAAAATATCAAAAAAATTAATTCATAAAAATTAAAGGGCCTAACCTAAAACACCCCTAAAATTTTCAGGGTATTTTGGTCATTTTATTGTATGTGAATTATTGTTTTAATATTTTTATTAGCCGTGCCTTGATGAGAAGAGTCAACACATCAAATTTCATATAATTTTGTTTGTAGCAAAAATATTAAAATTAAAATACGAAATACAAATCGTAATTGTCAGATCAGCCCAGATTCAATCTAAGCCGTTGGACTTACATTATTCCAATAGTCTATAGGCTGACAAGATCTTTTATATATATATATATATATATATATATATATACATAGAC